TGTTCTGAGAACCAAAGCTGACAACCGGTAATGTTTCTTTTATTTGTGTCATATATGTTGAGTCAGTACACCTGTAACATAATAGACTAGAAAAATAGGTTATTAAATTTGTTCAGCTAGACTCTCTTGAAAGTGTTACATCCTCCTCACCACAGAGCAAGACAGTCTCTAAAGAGGTATACTGGAAGAACAAACACAAAATGTCATTAAATCCTATCAGTTCAAGCCTATAAACGCCACATCCTGAATTAGTTCCCAGATGATTTCATTTAACTGCACAGGAAAACAATTTTGCCATTTCTAGAAAATAATGCATTATGTTGAAATTATTATTATCTGGTGGAGATTGAAGACAGAATTTTAACCATTTATAATGACTCCTAGACCACAGAATACTAAAAGATATTTTAGTTTTTCCTCCAGTACTAAAATTTAGAATTTGTTTGTTCTAAGGAAATAAATGAGAGTTATTAAGGAGATGAATCTATGGAGGTTTATACAATAAATGCTGGATAACTACCTGTAACTGGTATTTTAGTCATATATTGGGTAATGTCTAAAAAAATGCTGCTTTTCTCTGTCTTTATTCAACAGCCTGCTTTACGTTACGACTGTGTGGTACAGACTACAGGTGATACATGGCATATCCCCTATAAAGACTTTTTTGAGGAAAAATATTCCTATCAAGTACCAAGAAAATGGCTCTGCATCCAACAGAAATGATGAACAATGTAACTGCACGTGCTGAAGCTGCCTCTTTTTTTTCTTTTTTTTTTTTGATCACTGTTGCTGACCAGGAGGGCTCAGCAGTACAATTATGGGATTAATGTGTGAGGCCTAGAACTGAAGAAAAAATTCAGTAACTGCATTTTGTCAAAATCATGCCTGCAGTAAATCTGTTAACATCAGTGGTGGTCCAGCAGGGATGAATTACGTCCATTATTTCCATCTTTATGGGTGATTTCTGTGGCTTCTCAAAGTGATCTGAATTAAAACTTGATTTTTCCTCTTGCAGTGTAACTTTTTTGTTTTGTTTTGGGTTTTGTTGTTGGGTTTGGTTTTTTTTTCCCCTCAAGATTTCCACCTACACTGAAATGCATAAACTCTGTACTTCAAATAAATTAAGCAGGACTTGCAAGATACCTCAAAGTCTGTGGGGCTGACCTAGTACGAGTGTTACAGTGTCTGCCACCAGTAAAGAAAACTAATGAGACCAGATGATATGTATACTGTTTGCCAGACACATACAGCCTTAATAGGGCTAATGCTAATTACAATTCATTTGATCATATAGAATGCAAGAGATTTGTTACAGCAACATACATTAAGATTTTGATTGGAAGAACAAGGAAATGACCAGTGGGATATTGTGTGACTCTTTCACACTCTTAAATTTGCTGCTTCTGACAGATTTCATGTCACTGGAATAGTTTGCTTATGGAAATGCATGAATTTTTGGAACACAAATTGATGATAACTAGAAATTTTTACAGGCAACAATAGGATAAAACTGAACTTTGAACACAGATTTCTGTAAAACCTATCCCAAGTTATAAAGCAAGAAAAAAAGTATATATTACAGGAAAAGTGTTCCAAGTCATTATTTCTAAGTGAGTATATAGTAAATGTGTTCATTTCTTGCGCTTACCATTTTAATGCAAGCCTTTCTTCCCCAACAACATAGATTACACATTAATCTCAGATAAAATACCATGGGTTTGTTGCATTTATCTTGTACACTGAAAAATCCTCTATTTGAAACTGAGCTGAACCACACAGATCTTTTTGTATAGTACTTGCAGTTCTGAGCTTTTGTAGTATCCCATGACAAGCTTCCTCAGGACTCTTAGCATTCAAACACATTCCCTGCTATTTTTTTCATGTCACTTGTTCTACTCCAGGTATCAGTTTGTAAACCAGCGGGTGTGATTTGCATACTTTCACATCCTTCAGGTACTGTGCAGAAAGTGTAGATGAGCTGATTAACTCTTCAGGTAATCTGGAACCTTGCTTTCAAATTCATCATCTTGGCAGCATTCATCATAGACCCCTTTTCTGACAGAACATGCCAGCTCCTATGAGTCATCTGCTTTCTGGAGTCCACCAGGGAAAGCGGCGAGATTGGATCTACTTCTCTCACTCATCAAACTGATTTAATTCTAATTTGTCAGAAGATGGGTTTTGCAATTCTGTAAGTTGGAGAACTGCCACATCTCCTTGAAAGTGCAAATTCTGCTTTGTTAAAGTAAGCATCTGCTCCTCTACAGAACTGCTTAATTAGCAACTGTTGCTCTGTAAGAGGGTTACTTACCCTGTATATGAAGCCCCATAACAGCATAAGCTGATGTGAGTCAGTGATGTTACAGTCACAGTTTGGTACTAGCTCTGGTGCTTGTGCAGTCCTAAGCAATTCAGAGCTGGGTCTGCTGAATGCAAACTCCTTGAAAAATTGGGTTTGGCTAGGTCAAGACTAGTGTTGTTTCATTGAACTAGCACCGTTGCACAAGTACCTGTGTAGGAGGGGGGCTGAAATGTCAGGCTGCAGAACATGGGTCCCTGCAACTCTGCCATAGGTCAACTTTAGCTGACCAGAAATTGACATTTTATCTACTTCATTGCCAGACATGTTCATCCACTGAAGTTTGGTTTTTACCTCACGCTGGTCACTAACAGACATGCATAGTATCAACATCTAATTGGAATAAATGCATCCTCTACTTCCTTTTGACTGAGAACAACTTGCCTCATACTGATGATTTGGGCTTCATCTCAAAAACTATTCTTAGAATTACCATAATACCTTCTACATAGTAATACTTCCTCAATACACATTCTAAGTGTATTTAGAAGATAGAACAGAATCTACTTGGTATCTATTACTTTGTATGCAGTAGCACAGTAAAAATCTAAGGATTTTTAATATCTGTCTAGTAGTTTATTAGATTGATGGTCCATGCTGAATGCTGGAAAGGCAAGTCCTCCAATGTTGCAGCAACTGGTACCCCCAAAACTATGGCAAATGACACTGATAACAGAAATCAGAAGGACAAATGCTCAGCTTAGCCTGCCATGTGCTATCAAGATGGAGACTCACTGGCAAGATAGCCTTGAGGCAGACTGAACTGATTCAGGCTGCACTGTAACTGTTTTGTGAACAGCTTCCTCTCCAAGCTCACAGACTTGTTTACTGTTAAAAAACGTCAGTGAGAGCAGTCTGCCTCAGGATCCTGCAACACCGACTTGTGGTGGATCAGAGGTGATCAACACTAAACCAAATATAAATGATTGCTGTGCTGAAACAAACCCATACTTTGCAAGTTGAGGGAATTGCTATGTAGATGGAGAAGACTTCTGGAAGCTATATTCTGAGAGTATCATGATTTCCACTCCATCGTGTCCATGGTACTGAGCAACTATTAAGTCTTTCCTTGGTACAAGTCAAATATGGAATCTCTGGATGCAAACACAGATTTTCTCACTTGGCTACTTTATGGCAAACAGGCTGAATGTTAGATAATTACTTCCATTTTCCTATCCCTTTTTTTTCAAGCGGAAAAAAAAAATCTGACATTAAACTCCAGTGTTATAGAATGGGAGAGCTTTGTACATGTGAGGGTAGAAATCCTCACCCTGGAGAAACAGGTCTTTGAGAGATGTAGAGGCCATAAGACGCATGAGTACTGTGGAAGGGATGCATGGGGATTGTTTAATTATTGTGTCTTACAAAAGTGGTGCCACATGGTTCTGGTAGATAGAAGTTTCAGATAAAAAGTGAGGTTTCAGATGAAACCAGACAACACAGAACGTTATGCTGAGCAACTCTTTGCCATGGCACATTATGAATACAAGAAGTTCATCTGAGTTCAGGGAGAGACCCGCAAGTTCATGAAAGACAAATCCAGCATAGTTTATTAAATAACCAGACACAATCTCTGCCTGCCTTGGGAAGTCCCTCCAGACAGCTGGAGACTAGGGAGTGCCTCATTAAAGGCTCTCTATAGCCTTAACACTTCTTGGGCATTCACATCTGGACATGGAGCATAGGGCTGTGGAGACTTTGCCTCTGACCCAGCAGAGACCATCTTGCATTTTCATGTTCTCCATGTTCCAGTGAGAAGCATCAGAGTTTTAAACACTTCATGTCTGCCCACAAAGTGCTTCCCTAACACAGGAGACAAACTCTGTGTCCTGTAATAAATAAGGAGATTAAAAAGCAAGGTAAAATATACTGAAATATTCAAGTAGACTCTTGACGTAGGGCACACACAAAATGCACCTGTGATCTGCTGTTCCAACAGAAAGTAAGCTCATCTAACATCTTTTAAAACAGAGGTGTGGATATCAAAACAAGAGTTTTGAACTCTTTTGATAACCGACTGTAACAGCCTTCCCACAGGGAGCAGGGGAAATCCAAGAAGCTGAAAGGCAAAAGGAGCGTATATTCTCGAGTTTAAACTTGGGGAATTTCCCTTTGTTCTGGACACCGATTAAAAAGAATCTTTTAACCACCACATTATAATGCAGCTGCGGCAACAATTCCTCATTACGAGTATCTTAAACGTGGGTTTTGAGGTCAGTGTATCCCTGTGCTTTAAAGCTACACTCCCTGAGGAGGAGACGTGGAAATACTGTGCTTAGAAAACGAAGGGCGGTTGTGCTTCCCTGGCTGGTTCCTGAAGGTTCTTTTCTCCGTCTTCTGCCGTTCCCGTGCGTGTTCTCTAGCGCACGTAGGGCGCGTTTCGCTTTTTCGATGAATCAGAAACAGTTCTGCCAGCTCCCAACCCCTTCCCCTTCGCAGCCCCTCTGGTTAAACTTACAGCTGCTGCGTTTCTCTCACGACACAGATGACGTATCGCGATAGGATGGCCCTCAGCCGCACGCATGCCCGCCCACTCCGGCGGCTGGAGGCGGGATGGGAAGAGGGGCCGCCGAGTTGGCGCGTGCGCGGTGAGGGTGATGGAGCGTGACGGTGCGCGAGTGGAGCACGCCTCTGCGTTTGCGCGGCTCGTGTGACCCGGAAGCTCTCCACCGGCTGCTGAGTGCGCGGTGTCGGTGGGGCCCTGCACGCTGTGAGCCCCTCGGTCGCGCCGCCCCGCCCCTCCTCACACTGCCCGCCATGTCCCGAGGCTCCAGCGCCGGTTTCGACCGTCACATCACCATCTTCTCGCCCGAGGGGCGCCTCTACCAAGTCGGTGGGTGTCCGGATACGGGGATGCTGCTGCTGCTGAATTGCCCCGTCACGGGGTCGGCCTGCCCGCGCCGCTTCCCGCCGAGCGGGGCCGCACCGGCCCGGAGAGCCTGCCTCCGCCGAGCCTGGCTGCCTTTGGGGAGGTGGGAGTGTGGCGCTGCCCGCGGCCGAGGTGTCTCGGTTCCCGCTCTGCCTGGCCGCGCTGTGTGCGGGGAGAAGCCCGGTGGGAGCCTGGAGCAGCTGCGGTCACGGCCGTGCCGCCTTGGGGGCCTGGGAAACTGCCTGTTTGCTCTCCCTGAAGTGTCTTTATTTCTTTTTTTGTAGTTTCTCTTGCTAAACTTACAAGCATTGTGTTTTGGAACCTATGAACTTATATAGCTGTTTGAATTAGGACTTGAGCTGCCTCAAATCCTGCATGCCAGAGTAACAAAGCCAGGTTTTGGAGATAACCCATGCTCTCTCCTGTTACACCTGAGTGCAATGTGTTCTGTGCATCATGGCCTGTGAGACAGCAGCAAGCATCCTTTATTTCCAGGCATCTTTGAGCATTCTGCAGTTAAGCTGCAGCGTAGGTTCATCTTGCTTCTTCCTGTAGCCGCTGTAGGCTTAAGCCTTTTATTCTTATTTTTACAGTGTACCAGGTTCTGCAGAAGAGCCTTATGGTGCTCCTTCTGCAGAATACTTTATACCGGCATAGTCAACTTGCAGTCTCTCAGGACAGTTCACTGAGGGTGGAGCTGGAGGATCCTCGTAACAGGGCCAGATGAATTGTTCTGGTGACATCATCCTGATACCTTTTTTCCCTGGAGCTTAGTGGTTCTTCCCCAGCTGCAGTGGCTTCACTGTGTGGCATGTCCATACTGTCATCTGTTCTCCAGCAAAGGAGGTTGCTAGGACCAGGCTGCATGAATTTTCCATGGTAGTCAGTAGTTTCTTTTGTGTCTGCCCTTGAGTTCTCAGGAAGAAGGCTATGTGAAATAGGCTTCATGGGCTGGCAGCCCCGGCTTGAGCAGACTTTTTCCCAAGGAGCAACTAGGAAAGTGCCTGTGGTGTCTATACGCAGGTAGCAAGTTACCTGTACTAGGTACCTGGAGTTTGTATAAGGCTCGTGTGTGACTTGCATAGTAAGCCTTCTACATATGGATGGTAGGGACGGTACTTTCTCATAGAGGATGTCAGTGGTTCTGACCTTCTGTTGCCATTAGAACAGGCTGGTTGGTCTGCATCACCTTTCTGGCTGTTCTCTGTTTCATACTTTGTGTTGGGAATGGTTTCTGCATCCTGTAGTAGAGGAAACCGAGCCTTAGTTTTCTACCTCCTGGGTGTATTCAGCAATTAAGTTAATGTATGAAAGATGTGCATTCCCTCCATAGTTTTTACCGGCTTCATAGAACCAAGTCTCTGCACGTGTATTTGAGAACTTCTGCACACAGCCTGAAGCTGTCTTAAAGATATTTTAAGTACTAATATGCTGTGAGAATTAAAATACATAGATGTGCATAGTTAACTTCAAGCAAGAATGAGCTCACTTTTCCCACTGCCAGGCTGGTAACTCTGGCATGGTGCCACACTAGTGTCTCTGTAGGTCAGTATTTAGCCACCGCATGGGCAGAAAGCTCACATTTGCTTTTGGTCAGATATCAGAATCTAGCTGCCTTTCTTCCCTCCCTTCCCTTGTGAAGCTCATGTGCCTTTAAAGTGATCTCATATTATAGAATCATAGAATAGTTAGGGTTGGAAAGGACCTTAAGATCATCTAGTTCCAACCCCCCTGCTATGGGCAGTGCTTCACCCTGACCATGTCACCCAAGGCTCTGTCCAGCCTGGCTTTGAACGCCGCCAGGAATGGAGCATTTACCACTTCTTTGGGCAACCAGTTCCAGTGCCTCACCACCCTCGCAGTAAGGAACTTCTTCCTTATATCTAACCTGAACTTCCCCTGTTTAAGTTTAAACCCATTACCCCTATCACTACACTGATCCAGTGTCTATCACAACATAGATGTGTTAGAAAAGTATAAGTTATTTTGTATGTGTTTCTTACTGCTTTTGTTAAAATCCCTCAGAGCATCAGTGTTATCTTGCCACCTATTAGTTCCTGTCTTCAAGTGTGATGCTTCATCTAAGTGGGATTTTGGTAGGTGAAGAAAATAATTATGGTCAAATTTGTGAGTGTTTGTGATGTTTTCAGGGAATAGCGAGGGATGGCTCTTCTCAGAAAACATATGCAGTGCTACTGAAATACTTAAAGTAGCAGAAAACAGACTTAAAACACCACTAGCCATTTGCATTGGGTATACATTAAGAGCCACTTCACTTTTTGGCTTGCCTCTGAAAACTGAGCAATGCAGATGATACTAAGAATGGCGCAAGAGGGGACCACGGTTCAGTCAACAACCCTGATTGTCACTACTTGTGAGCAAAGCCGGTTTGTGAGGGCACCTATTCCTGCTCCCACAGAATGGTTGAGGTTGGAAGGGAACTCTGGGGATCATCTGGTCCAAACCCCTGCTCAAGCAGGGTCACATAGAGCCGGTTGCTCAGGACCACCCCCGGACAGCTTTTAAATGTTTCCAAGGAGGGAGACTCCACAACCTCCACAACCTGTGCCAGTGCTTGGTCACCTTCACAGTAAAAAAGTGTTTTCTCGTGTTCAGATGGACTCTGCCGTGTTTGTGCACATTGTTTCTGGTCATGTCCCTGGGCACCACTGGAAAGAGCCTGGCTCTGTCTGTCTTCACACCTTCCCTTCAGGTATTTGTACACACAGATAAAAAAGTGTTGCAGAGCCCTGGCCTGGGGCTTCAAACATGACTAGGCTGTGGGCAGTACTAGTTTATGTCTCACTGGGTTCTGTGCTTTGCTGCAGGCTAGCACTGGTCATCCTGGGGAAGGCAAGTGAACAGGTGAGTGGAGTTGTGCATCTAGCAGAAAGGGAGAACATTCCTTATGGCATGTTTGGGTAACCAGTAAATGCTCTGGTGCCTGTAAGTAATAAATACAGTGCCATGAATACATGGCGGTCAGCTCTTCCACAACACTGACTCGGCAGATTGAACATCAAGACCCTGGTATTGCAAGAGTAGGTTGTAATTTTCAGATTATTCCTCTTCTCTTGTGCAGTTTCTTCCATAGATCTGAATGCAGCTTTTAAAACAGATGAGTTTCTTGCCTCCCCTATTTTAGAAGATAGTTTTAGCATCTAGACATATTCTAAATTCAAGTTTCATTCACATAGCTAAGAGAGAATTCATCTGCATTTAGCTGCAGCCTGAAACCTGCCTCTGCTAACCAGATAGTAGGAAGTTTTGTACGTTTATCATATATTGCTGGATAAATAATCTATAAAGTTGTTGTTCCTGAGGCTTTTGAAACCATTAATCAAGGGAAATTTACTTCATGGATCACATAAAGTAAATCATAATCCATTATATTTATCTGAATAATGCTGTTTAGTTGGGGTGTGCATAGGTTTCATTTTCAAAAGTGAACAAAAGCATTGCAGGGTTTGAATGTCAAGTTAGAAAATGTGATAGTAAGGTTAAACCCCATCTTCTGTGCCTGGTCCATCATTTCTGTTTTCATCTGTATCAGTTAAAATCTACAAAAGAAAAATTACATCTTTGCAGTGATAACAATGCTTGAAATACTAAGCTTCTGCATGTTAAAAAACACTGAGGATTTGCAGTTACTGTAGGTAAAGGTTGGACCACTTCGGTTAAGGACAGCGCAACTGCTTTGTTTTAAAATAAATCCTATTCCTTTTAAGCATTCCAACTGAACAAAAAGGCAAGTTACTAGAAATATTTGAAGGAAGCAGTGGTAGTGGTTTTGTGAAGAGAGTCAATTAATTCAGTTCTCAGTTCCGATCAGAAACTTATATGCATTTTACTAAAGACCTTAAAGACACCAAGTGTTGTGAAGTATTAAAGTATTAAAAAAGCCAGAACTTGGTGAGATTTCTATGTTAGGGGAAGGTGTCAGACTTAATTGTTCTGGTATCTCTAACACTGTTTTTTAATTAACATTTACGTATTTTTCTAGAATATGCGTTTAAGGCCATAAACCAAGGTGGACTTACATCTGTCGCTGTTCGTGGGAAAGATTCTGCAGTAATTGTAACACAGAAGAAAGTACCTGTAAGTAGATTGGTTTTGGGAGTGGGGGGGACTGGAAGGAGATGAGAAAAAAGGTGTGGGAGGTGAGACTTTGATGTTATATTGATTACCACTGACCTGTATTGCTGCTTGGATTGATTATCTTACTATCACTCTGCTTATTACAAGTTCTAGCTCCATTTAGTGTTCAATTGTACATTTCTTCACTAAGTACTGTAAGTACTGGTTTTCTCTTTAGCTGTGGGAGGGATGAAGCTAAAACAGTAAGTTGGTCCTGATGTACATACATACATGCATGCATGCATGCATGCATACATTTCTCTGGCTTGTAAGGGCAGTAAGGTCCATAATCAGTTTCATGATTTCTTTAATTCCCACTCAGACATTGTACCAATAGCTAGTAGAACTATTTCATGAGCATTTCAGCAGAGTGGTGATGACAAAGCAGGAAAACCTTGTGTTTGAAGGAAAGTATGCAATAGGAGCTGTTGTGCTTTGAGCCCAGACAGTAACTAGGTACCATGCAGCTGCTCATTCACTCTCATTCCCTCCCCAGCCCCCAGTGGGATGGCAGAGAGAATTGGTAAAAAAATGTAAAAACTCATGGTTTGAGGTAAGAACAGTTTAATAATTGAAAAATAAAAGTAAAATATAATAAAATAATAATAGAAAATAGAGAAAGCAATAAACCCCACTCCCTCCAAGGAAGATGCCCAGCTTGTTCCCAGGCAGCAGTCAGCCACTCCTGGCCAACTCCCCCAGCTTTATATACTGAGCATGACACTGTAGTAAGGAATATCCTTTTGACTAGTTTGGGTCAGGTGCCCTGTCTCTGCTCTCTCTTGGGTTCTTGTGCCCCTCCTCACTGGCAGAGCATGAGACATTGAAAAGTTCTTGATCAAGGTAAGCGCTGCTGAGCAACAACTAAAATATTGGCATGTTGTCAGCATTGTTCTCAGACTAAAGCCAAAACACAGCACTGCACCAGCTACTAGGAAGGAAATTTACTCTATCTCAGCTAAAATGAAGGCACAAGCACAAGTTTTTGTATTTTGTGTTTTCAAAGTTTTTTTTCAAAGGGAAAAGGACTTTGATGTTGGTCATGCTGTAGCTGTCATCCTTTTCCAGATATTACAGTTTTATCTTCCCTATTCTCCTGTTTCTTTTCATGCCTATAGCAGTAAGTAGTGGTGAGACTGAAAGGCAATTTTTAGCTGTTAGTTGATCCTTTTGGGCTTTTCTGTAGATACAGGAGTATTCCAAGTCTGGTTTTTGGGGTTGGTTTGTTCAGGGTTTTGTTTTTTTTTTTACTCAAAGGACAGTGTTTTCTATTAGTTTATTTCTGTTTCGTCTTTAGGACAAGTTACTGGATTCCAACACAGTGACTCATTTATTCAGAATTACTGAAAACATTGGCTGTGTGATGACAGGAATGACAGGTATTTATTTCACTATCTTTTTAAGTACCTGAAGCGTGTAGTTTGCCAACTTTGCGTCAGATAAAACAAACGAGTGCTCTAGGAGATTTGTTCCACTCAGTCTGGTTTTGGAAAACTTGTCTAGTTCTGATATATGCATGTAAAGGTGACTTAAGGTTGACCCTGGAATTTGCATTCTCAAGTGATGCTAGCAATAAACATGGTACAAGTTCAGTGAAATTAATATTGGTTCTTCCTGTCTAGCTGACAGCAGATCTCAGGTGCAGAGAGCTCGCTATGAGGCTGCTAACTGGAAGTACAAGTATGGCTATGACATCCCTGTGGATATGCTGTGTAAAAGGATTGCAGATATTTCTCAGGTCTATACACAAAATGCTGAAATGAGGCCTCTTGGTTGCTGTAAGTATAGTGTATGAAATTAATCTTTTCTGTTTCTTGTCTAAGCTTGCAACTTAAAGTATAAGAAATTCTCACCCGTTTTCAAGTTGTGCAAGATACAGATGTAACTGAATAAGTAAGAGGGATGAACAGCCAAGTGAGAGAGCAGTGTTGGAAGTCTTGAATTGGAGCCATGACTTTGCCGTTGAATCAGCATTTGAATTGGAGTAAATGATTTAGCATATTTAAAATGTGCAATCCTATTTCACCTTGGCTTCTGGGGCTGTGCTTGTGCAGATTTTCTGCATCTTAATCATGCAGATTAAGGATGAAAATCTGCATGATTTTTGCTCTTAACCATGATATATGTAATGTAGAGAAGTGCTTAAAAATATTTCACATGCAAGCATTTCTGCATCAGTCTTGTATAATAACAGCAGATGCAGCTTAAATTACACAGATGTGTGCAGAGTTGGTTTTTGTAGGTATTCCTGGTCATCTGTGTGTTCTGAGGTTGGTTCTGACTTGTTTTTTCTCTTACATTTGGCTGTGGGCAAATTATAACTGTACCGTTAGACTGTCTGGGTTTCTTTTTGCTTGCTTGGTGGGTTTTGGGTTGTTTTGTTTTTTTTGGGGGGGGGGTGGGGGGCTATGGTGTGTTGTTTTTTTGTTGGGTTTTTTTTTTTTTTTTTTTTTTTCTCTTCTCTCCACTAAGTGGAATAGTTTCAGAATTGGTGAATCACTTCTCGTAATCGTAGTAGGCACCAGCACTTCTCACTACAGAAGTAACAGTCATGGTTGCACCACGGTTTCCATGATGGGGCAATTTTCCTATGTTTGTGATGTTCAGGAATGATTGTTTCTTTCTTCCCTTGGCATTTCCCCATGCCTTCATACTACTGGAAAGTGATTTTTGGTGTTGGGGTTTTTTTTTTTTTGTTTTTTTATTTTTAAGTAGATGAAAGCAAATATCTTAATTCTCCTTTAGGTTTTTTTGAAAAGATGCTGGGAGATTGTTTATCTGTTGTAGTAATAACGGCTCAAGCTTATCAGCTGTAACTACTAGTTAAGAGTTTCACAAGTGTAAAGTAAAAATTATTTAAAACCTTAATCCTGTTCTGGGATTTTTTTGTTGTTGTTTTGCTTTTGAGTTATTTTTAACATGCCTGTTGAGTCTATACAAATCTAGAAGTGTGGGTGAACATAGATGCATTTCAGTGATGTGACCAGTTTGTTGCATCCAACTTGAAGCACTTAATCAGATGATCTTCAAAGACACAGTTCTATGTTCTGTTATTTCCACATTCCACTATTTTTCCAGATTTTTTTTTTTTTTTTAGTATGAAGAGAAGAGGAAAAGGGATGTAATGCAGAGCTTTTCAGGATTGCAGTCAAGACATCTAAAGTTGATCTTTTAATATTTCCATTAATTTCAATATATTTGTAAAGTTGCTTTCTGGTGGAAAGCACCTGTTAATAGAACTATTGTTTACACTTTTAAAAGTGCCGTATGGTAAGCAGGATGTGAATCGTGGCTGGGTTAACTTTGTATTGGGGCTGAATAGTCTTTCCTGACTTTGTGGTTCTCTACACACATGGCAAAACTGTTTCTACATTTAATGAGGAGCCTTCTTTGGTAATGACAGAAATCTAGTTTGCACTAAATGGAGTTGCATGCGTGTTCAGAAGATGCTGGTAACAAATGGCGAATTGGAGATAAAGAGGAAATCGCAGCTCTTGGTATGGGACTGGTTCCCTAAAATGTACTGCTGTGCATGCACGATTTTCACAGGGGGGGAGTATCTAGTCTGTTCTTTAGCTTAATGAAATTGCTAAAATTGGGGTAAGAAATAAATTAACAAATTTTCTCTTCAAGGTATGATTTTGATTGGTATCGATGAAGAACACGGCCCTCAGGTATACAAGTGTGATCCAGCAGGTTACTACTGTGGATTCAAGGCCACAGCTGCAGGAGTAAAGCAGACAGAGTCAACCAGTTTCCTTGAAAAGAAAGTAAAGAAGAAATTTGATTGGACATATGACCAAACAGTAGAGGTAGGGCAGCAGAAGGAATTAAAGATCTGTTAAAGTATTTTTAATGAACATGCTGTGTGTGGGCTTTTGATGCAGAGGAATGCAGTGAGGCATTTCCTGTTTTCTTACAGTTCTGTATTGCTGCCAGAGCAAATACAGCTGCTCTAACCAGAGAATCTTTTGGAGGTATTCTGCAAATGTTTGAATGGTCATCGAATCTGCTTTACGTTAGCTGAAGCAGAATCTATAATTCTAGTACTTCCACTGTAGCGGGTGATTGGTTACTACAATGCTTGATTCTGGGGATACCAGTGCAATTTCCACTTAGTGGCACTTAAAACAGTCATTGTGTTAGAAAGCGTTTCAAACAGGACATGGCAGTGCTTGTCTGTCAGTTTAGTAAACATAACAGTTCTCACACTGAGCATCACAGCTGGTGTTCAGGGCCCCTTAAAAAGATGTATCCCACTTATAAAATAGGCTAATGAACTTAGTTTATAAATCGTCCTTGATTTTTCACTTACGCTATAGAGATCTGTCTAAACAGTCCTTTTTTTGTGGCATACCTGTTTCCCCTGTCAGGCCTTGTACTTCTCTCATAATCATAGCAGCCTTCCAGTATCTGAAGGGGTGTTTATAAGGATGATGAGGAGGGACTCTTCATTAGGGACTGTAGTGACAGGACAAGGGGTAATGGGTTAAAACTTAAACAGGGGAAGTTTAGATTGGCTATAAGGAAGAAATTCTTTACTATAAGGGTGGTAAGGTGCCGGAATGGGTTGCCCAGGGAGGTTGTGAATGCTCCATCCCTGGCAGTGTTCAAGGCCAGGTTGGACGAAGCCTTGGGTGGCATGGTTTAGTGTGAGGTGTCCCTGCCCATGGCAGGGGGGTTGGAACTGGATGATCTTAAGGTCCTTTCCAACCCTAACTATTCTATGATTCTATGTTACGTTTCCTGCATCACAAGATGAGCAGTTGAAATGTAGAATAACATCCTAACAACTGATGCCCCTGTAAGATTATTGTATTGAGATCGCTGTGAGTGCTTTGCAGATTTAGACCTTCAGCTAAATTACTTGTGAAATCTACATTGCTGTGAAAGTACCATTTAACCAGAAAGTTCTTCAGCATAAATTCATAAGGCTTAAGTGTATATCTTAGTAAGTACGGATTTCCTTAGTATGTGAGTTCTTTGATCCTGAAGGGGATAAATAATCATATCATACTGAAATTGAATGTATTTGCAGTTACTTCAGAGAGCCTTTCTTATCCTGGCTAAATATTTTTCACATTTTTCTACGCTGCTTGATTATTTTGTGCATGCCTCTTGTTGAGAGGTAGATGAAACAGTCTCTTCATTTTCTTGTTCTTAATTCATAAAACCTCCATGGCATGCTGCAAATGCGTACTTGGTAATTAATCTGGCAGTCAAATCCTGGATGCGCTTCTATACCTTTTGTTGTCTTTTTAAAAGTGCTGAGATTGTGAATCAGACACTGTTACTCTAAAAGTGGGCAGTGACATGGAGAAGCAAGTCTCAAGCAGAAACAAGAATCATGTTTTTGTTGTGCTCTTTGCACACACGCACATACGCTCCCTTTCTTTTTTTTAAAGCTTGTGGTGCAGTAGAGGTACTGCTCCAAGGGTAAGAACTCAGTTTGGATTTTCTTAGTTTAGTGGGGTTTTTTTAACAACTTAGCAGCCTTCTGATAATACATCTTATATAGTCTTATAAAAATATTGCAGAATCAATATATTATCATACTGAAAATAAACTTTATCTTGTCTGGTGTTCTACACTTACTGACACTTTGCTGATCAGTATTAAATGGCAGCATGTCAAAATAACTGATTTGATAAGCATCTAGCCATATAGCTGTTCTATGAAACTTCTTTTTGTGCTCAATCATCATTTTAATGATACAGCTGTAGCATTATTATGACCCTACTGCAGGGTTAAGTATGAGCGAGGTTACAAAGAACACCTTTTAAAACAGTTGATGATTAGGGTGCAACAAAACATAAGTTAAGCCATGATGAAATACAGCTTTTAAAAACAGCCAACATAATTTTAGTTACCAGAAGAAAAAGGCAAGATGGAAGCTACACAAGTGACATGTGCTTTGGGTAATTTTGGACTGTAATACTGATGTCTGTATTATTTGCCACTAATGAAACATGTTCTTTTTTTGGGACCTGGGCTTTTAATCTTCTCATGACAAAGTTTGGGTTTTGTTGTGTGGGGTTTTTGTGTTATGAAAACCACATATTCCTCTGTTTTTTGTAGATTGGGGTTTTTAGGGAGAGGACTGGGGTGGGACTGTATTCTATAACAAGGGGAAGCTATTTGAAACTTTTCAGCTAAGGTTTTGAGGTGGAAGGAAATAAAACTAGAAGGAAGGGTAGTTGTGAATGCTATGTCTATTAAAAAAAATACCAAACCTTAGGGCTTTCTGTTTAATGATAGGGGTTTTTGTCATCTTTCAGACAGCAATAACGTGCCTGTCTACTGTACTATCCATTGATTTCAAACCTTCAGAAATAGAAGTTGGTGTAGTTACAGTGGAAAATCCTAAATTCAGGTAAGTGATCAGTGTTATAAAACTTGGTGTGTGTTTCTCTAGTTGTGTGCAATTAGTTTGAACTTCTTTGTAATGATAAGTCAAGAAAAAAAAAGTCAGAAGTTGAAGTTTTTGATGTTTTTTTTCTTGTAACTCTTCAAAATGTGTAGGTATATAAAACATTGTTAAAAAACACATAGCACAAAACACATTTTTAAAACATTTGACAAGGTTAAAGGATGTCAACAAAAGTATTATCTTTTGTTTCTTAAAAGGGTATTGCTTTATGTGATGATTAAAATGTAGTTACATCTGGTATAGGTGGTTTTCCATGCTTAAAGGAATAAAGATTTTTCTTTGTACTAGTATATGAAGTCCACTTCCAGATCATAGTCAGGACAACTAACACAGTGAAGTCTGTTTTTATACAAGGGAAAATTTTGCAAATCACTTAGGTTTTTTTATCTTTTTCTAAATGGGATCTTTAAATTATTCTTGCTCATCTTGTAATTGCAGCCGTTTTTAACATCTCCAGTATATAGTTAACACCTTATGAATTTGTATTCTTTGAAATGCTATATATATTTGGCAAGATTAAAAGATCCTGGGTTTAAAAATCACTGCAATGATATGAAACTGTCTTGAACTTCTACCTTCTGAGTACACTGCATTCCCACCTCGCATGAAAGCAAGACGCCTGCTATTTTCTCCTTTCCCTGTTACTGCCTGAGTCTGAGTGCAGTGCACTGTGTGCAACAAACTGAAATCTTGCTGCTGAGGGCTATACCTCATGTCAGATACAGTGTCCCTGATGGTCTTCGCACAACACAATGTATATCTATGGAAGTATGCATGAAATGTGGGACAATACATTCTGGGGCTTTTTTGTTAATGCAAAAAGACCCTCTGGGTGTGTATTACCAAAAATTTAGGTAAGTCTGGCTTACTGCAGAAGAGTGCAGTTATTTCTGCCTTAGCCTTTTTTTTTTTTTTTTTTTTTTAATTATATACATTTTAGTATATACTATTTTTAAAAAATTGAGAAGAGAGGGACAGCTAAGTAGGGAAGGAAGGTCCTCTGCTGCTTTGGTTTAGCTACTTGGTAGGTGGGGACTGGAGAGAGGCTTCAAAGCTTTAAGTCTAATGTGTTTAAAGTTGACATGGTGATGACAGGTGGTTTTGCATTTGGTGTGTGTTGAGGACAACAGAATAGCATAGATTTTTTTTTTTTTTTCTTTTTTGAGAAAGCATGCAAGGAGCTGAATTACTGCTTTTTTCTACTGCTGCTCAAGGGTCAAGTGCTAGCTTTCTGGCAACCTTCACTTACCATTCCATGTCCTTTTCAGGAAGGATAAATAACAAGTAGAGGGAGAAGGCTGTGAAAACCTGTGTCCCCCTTGGAGTATCATACTAATTACCATAGCTATTCTTCTCACAAGGTCCCAGCTCACAAATATATTAGTCATAAGGAATGAGGAATGTTGTTTTACCTTTTGTTACCTCTTTGCTTTCTAGTGCCTTTGATTCTTCCTTTGTTTTTAAAATGAATTGGAATGTTGGCTTGTGGCCCTAACAGCAGGGCTTTTTAAAGGGGTGAAAGATGCATTGTATATAACTTATATGTGTAGGTACTGGGTTATAATATTGGAGTTTAAGGTGAAGAATCATTTAAGCTATTTAAGATTTCATTTTATTCTTTCAGGATCCTTACAGAAGCAGAGATTGATGTGCACCTTGTAGCTCTGGCAGAGAGAGACTAATTAGCATTCCCATTTCCATTGTCTGTGCTTCTGGCCTGGTTATTTGGTGAAATGAAAACACTTATTAATGGCTTTAGATTATGGGTGGAAAACTGTATTCACTATATGATGTATTTTACTCTGTACAAATAAAACAGAGGTTTTTGAAATACTTAGTGTCTCCTTTTAATGTAAATTTTTTAACTTTCAGTTCTGTGAAATTATTATCAAAATGCTTCATGACTTTGAATGTTTCTGTGGTTTTTCTTGCTTTTTAGTTGTATTTTAAGAGAAATTTTATACTCTGCATGATATTTCTTATCTGAGCTATTTGGCTCCTGATGTAAAGTTTTATATCGGATTATGTGGTGTGTATGTCTTGAGATAAATTCTCTTCTTGCCCTGATACAGAAAGGCTTGTAACATTACTGGTTTAACTGTGGGGAAATTCAGATGATCATTAATATTTGCTCAGGTTTGTATGAGAATAATACAAATATTATTTGTATTTGTATTTGTATGAGAATAATACAAATACATTTGTATGAGAATAATACAAATACATTTGAAAAATGTTAAAGGAAAAAACTTGAGCTGCAGTTCCCAGTGCATTCCTTTAAACCGATTTATTTCGGGTGCAGGTAGTGAATTTAATAGAAGTCTGCTATTAAGATCTTTGAATCTAACATTTATTTAGGGAAATAGATTGTGTATGTAGTACCCTTTGCAATTTTGGCTGCCTGTCACCTACCTGGTTTTGAGGCATTGAGCAGCGCTGAAAGCAATGTTGGGGCTGGATGGGGCGATAGACAAAGTCCATTAACAAGAATGTGCCTGGGAAGGAACTCCCGTTGCTCCTTCGAAGTTCTGGGTTAGGAGAAAAGATAACTGCCAAAATTAGAGTCAAGGTGAAGAAAAATGTGTTTTTGTTTTGCTGAAACTGAAGAGGTTTCAGTCTCAGCAGCAAAAAGGGATATGAAGTTATGAGGAAGGAGACACTGAGGAGAAAGGGAAGATTACTAGACATTTTTAGCTGCTGGGTGGACATGGGAGTCATCCTGGAAGAATGCCAAGCTAATACAACCTACCTCTTTACCTTCAGTTCTGTCATGCTAGTCCTGTATTTGCTTTAATTACTCCAAAATTCTTGCTTTACAGTTAAAGCCCCTTGAATGTGTATTTTTCAAGTTTGTTGTAGTAAAGGAGTTGTAATTCTGTGTTTGGTGGCTTTAATAAAAGCTAATGCTAAGCTTATGTGATAAATGAGTTGAGGAGACTCAAATGTAGTGTGAACTGTTGACTTTGCAAAGCTTCCTGAATTTCCATTAGTGCCTCCAAATTTCAGCTTCCCTCATGTCAGATAGTGTAGTATAGGTGACTAGGTTAAGCTACCCTTGCTTCTGGTTTTGGGTTGATTGTCTGCGAATTCTGTGTGCTTTTGTGCAACAGTTGGCATGACTAATGGCATATTTGGAAAGGTCTGTCTTTCCATCTGTCAGTGACAGCTGAGTTTCTGAAACTTCTTAGGACCTTTCTTCCTAATACTCCACTTGTATAATAACTTGAAATTTTAGTAGATTTAAGTCATCATTTACTCTGCCATCAAATATGATCCACTGATACTTTGTTCTCTATAAGCTTTAATTAAGTGTATGAAACTTCACTAATGACTTCTTGAACAAAACAAATGAAAAGGAAGATGACAATCAGGGAGCTGTATGACTAGTGCATGTTTGTATGGTATTTTAGTAGCTAAACACCCTGCAATACCTTTAATACTAAATTTTGGAGCTTGCATGTGATTGTATAACTCGGGTGGTGGTTCTGAGAGCAATCGGTGTTTGTTCATACCTTACGCTTTTGCAATACAGAACATCGTATCTTGTGTTCAGACATGATGAAATAAGCTGTGTACAATATATTACTTTGGTTTGTTGCATCATATGTTAATAAGCAAAGTTAAAATTGCAGCAACTGAAATGCCATTTTTTGCTAGTATATTGTCCTATAATGGAAATTCACAGTTCTCTTTTCGTACTAATGATGGGGATTTTTCTTTTCCAGTCAGAGCTTTTTGTTATTTAAGATAAAGGCAGCTGTGCAGATGGGAATACCTGACCTAATGGGAAAACCCCGTGTATTACACATACACATGATCGCATTCCTCACACCCTGGAGCAGATAGCACCTGCAACCCAACTGTGCAGCAGCCATGACTGGTGTTGGTCTGTACCTGATATCACCTGCTGTTCCAAACCTGGCACTGACAGAAAAACTAGAGTATGCATGATGTGATCCTCACACTTCTGTTTTCGGTAGAGCTTATCAAGAGTGATACCAGACTTGGGCTCACTCCATGTACTCATGGTTTGTTTGCCAGTGCTGAAAACTCTGTTGTGAATGCACAAGTAATTAAGCAGGAATAGGAGTAAGCCTTGTGTATAGACCCAGTTCAGTGTTATCCGTGCTAAACTCGGACTGGCTCTGCACAGCTTTGTAACTGTGTCCACACTGTGTTCCCAGTGCTCTTTATTTGAGGTGTAGAGTGTAAGGATGCAAATGCCACATACGTGCTATCAGCTTAGGTAGATCAGATGGATTATGTGCAAAGCATCTGGATTTCTTCTGAGCAGCCTTGCTCACTCCCTAAGGGCGTCTCAGAAGCAGTAACAGCAGGCATTATAGACAGAAATAGCTTAATAGGGAATCTTAACATAAATTGTCTGTGGGTCATCAGGAGCCGTCTGTGTATTCATCCTGGGAACAAAAGATGTTAAGGCAGGCAGTAACGAACTGCCCCAGGATTTCCAGTACTTCTCAAGTGCAACATGTGCTTTGAATCAACTTCATTTGAATTGACTTGTGATGCACAATGGTAGACCCTGTCTTTTTTCACTGTGAAGCCTCCAGTGGTGACAGTCTGAGCAGCACAGAGAGGTAGATGGGGAGTTCAGGTGGAGTATTTGTAGATATATTACAGCAATTTTAATCACATGGAATAATATGCTGCATCTTTCTCTTCCTTCTCTGTCTTATTTCTCATTGAGCCAATGTCCAGGTGTACCTAATAAGAAATATTTTTGTTCAGTGCACATTGTGGTAAGTAAGATGAAAGAACTAGATTGTGAAAACAACCAACTTTACCATTTTGTCCCTGACACAGATGCAAAACCCGCTGTTTTGAGTTCTTCCTAGCAGCAGCATTGTTGGCTCATGAGATCAAGTTCTTTGAAGTGTTTCCATGACAGTATTCGTGTTTTGTTCTGGGATAATAATGGCGGGGGCATTGCTTTTCATTCTGTAATCAGAGATTTTTTTTATTTTTTTTTTTTTTTCAGATGGGAAGTTCTTAAATTGTCATAGCTTGTTCCAGCCAGTTCTTGCTAGTAACAGTTTGTTCTGTCCTCTTGTTTTGCCATAACCCAAACTATTTGGAAACAATGCAAGACATCCTGTAGTTCAGGATTTGTTGGAACGGTGAACTTAAACCTCTCATGCCCAGACTTAACCAAGGCGCATCTTATGCTTATGCAAAGCTGATGAAAATAGTGTCTGGATTTTTTGTTTATCATGATTTTCACATTGTAAAACAAAAACAAGCCCTCAAAAAAACCAAAAAGAACCAAAAAGAAACAACCACCAAAACACTTTATCTTGTCCGTTGTACTATGTCTTTATGGATAAACTTGCATTTCTTAAATGACTAATAAAACCCCCAACTATTAGCAGTATTTACTGCTGTTCACCAGGCTTTTTTTAGCACAATAACCTTTTCTCTAGGAGCAGCCTTACCTGTGTCACCATTCGCTATGAAAATTCTGTGCTACAGTGTTAGATATGTAAACTGTAATATAGTTGACAGTAAGCCTGGTAAATAAACAGACCCAGCAGATCACTGAGTCAATATCCAGCTAACTGCATCTGGTAGAATTGAGTTATATACAAAGAAGTGTGTTTTTCCATTTTGGGGGTTAGTATTTTTCTCCTGGCCCTTTTTTTAGAATCTGACAGCCCTAGCTAAGCTATCAAGTGCAGCAGATGCACTACATGGCTTTGCTGTGCAACTCATAGTGGCTTAGCTGATCCATACATTGAACCACAAGCCTGTGGAATAGTTTTCTGGCTAAGCTTTAGCTAAAGCATGGTGTACAGGACAGATCAGGGGACACAAAGCCAGGCTGTGATTTTTTTACTGGCAAATTTTATGTTTCTGTCCCAGAAACTGCCTCTTGTGACACCCACTGGCAAAGAGACTTGTGAACATAAGCTGTTTAATCCTTTGTGGGATTTCTTAGTCTGGAAAGCAACCCTCTCTCAAGTTAGAGAATAAAACTTTGTAGTTGTGGATAGAAGAACATGGCATGCATTATCAGGACTAAGGATGCCATTCAGTGACATCTGATGTTGCTGTGATGTTTGCAGGTACATCTGCTCTCCCTGTTTTGATACCAGCTATGTCCACCCTCTTCCTGCAACCAGCACTGCTACTCCTTTACATTTGTAATGAGCTGTTCTGTCTACTGAACTGATGGAAAACATTGTTTTGTTTGGTTCAGTTCTCTGTTGGATTAGTGACCTGACTCGGCTCACTGCAGGCTGAAAGTGGCTGTAGTGCTGGTGGAAAGGAGGGAAAAGGGAAATGGGATTGCACTGCCTGTGGCACAGGCTGCGGTGGAAACCGCAGCCAGCATCACCAAAGGAACGGGAGCATGTGTAGCTTGTTATCCCCTTGACTACTCTTTGACTTGAACCGATGTGATGACACCTGGTCCACCAAAGTGGCATTTGCCTGTGTCATCAGGCGGCACAAGCTTATGCTTGAGCAGCAGCAGGACTGCACTCTTCTAGTCTGAAGAAGGTTTCTCTGGGACAGTGCTGTTCCAGCAGCTCCTCCCTGACTCCTCTGCTCTTACACCTGTTGTGTAGCTCAGAAATTCCCAGGGGAACCCGATTTGGAAATAGCTATGTTTAAAGAAAAATAAAAAAATTAAAATTCCTTCCAGAGAAGTATCATTTCCTCAGTTTGGATGCTCCAGTGCTTGTAGAAGGGAGAGGGTAAGATCTTGTGGGAGCAGGGAGGGCATGACCCAGTTCAGTGCAGGCTGATGTTTTACCATCCTGTTGGAGCGCAAAAAGCCCACCTCTCTATCTGGCAGTGCCACATACTGCGTG